TATTCCCAGCCAGATCAGCCTCAAATTTGACTTGGCAAATCTGGCTGGGAATATGAATTTTGTACTGTGAATGCGTTAAAATAACGCTTCAGGCGCCTGAGTTAGCAAATTCAGCTCAGCTCAGGCCTACTCAGCAGCAAATATGCAATCTCTGATATTTATCTAAGTTTTCTTTAGATTTGCAGATGTTCAAATGAATTTTGAAATCAATTAATTCAATTTTCTCATTTTTTACGTTCGCTTCCTACAAAGTGAGCTTGAAAATGTGTTTCAGGAGCCATGGGAATAAAGTGACTCCTTAAACACACAATGGCTTTGTTCCACCGAGTGCACAAATTTGTTCTACACATTGAACATGTCAGTAGATACTTAACCTCACTTTGTCAATCAAAAACAAGAAAAATGTTAGCAAAGAATTTCTGAGCAAAAAAAAGAAAGTTCATATTTTTTTTCGGTATTTTTTCAAACGTTTCTAAAATTTTATTAAAAATGGGTTTTCATATTAATACACTAGGTATATTTTTATAAATAATTGAAATATTTTTTAACCAGAATGCTTGAAATATGTACTCATGTACTTATGCATACTTTTAGCGCGTTCCGCAACGAATGACAACCGACTACGCGGTCCCCGTTGTAGTTTGACAGGACAAGATAAAATGCCATTATTTTGGAAAAATAACCCAAAAGAACCCTCATTTACCCAATATTTTAGTCAAAAATCAAATTTTTAATTTTTCTGTGTTTTGTCTTTTCTGCGTTTTTTTTTCTGTGTTTTGTCTTTTCTGCGTTTATTTTTCGGTGTTTTTTTTTCTGCGTTTTGTCTTTCTGCGTTTTTTTCTGCGTTTTATCTTTCTGCGTTTTTTTTTCTGTGTTTTTTTTTCTGCGTTTTGTCTTTCTGCGTTTTTTTTTCTGCGTTTTGTCTTTCTGCGTTTTTTTTTCTGCGTTTTGTCTTTCTGCGTTTTTATTTTCTGCGTTTTATACGAGAATCAAAAAATTGTTGCATGCTAAAATTAATCTCATTTATGTTACATCACATTGGGTTTCAATACAGTCTTTTCAGATCGTGCTTAACACAAATTTACGAAAAAACAAATGTCTTATATAATATTCGATAATATTCAAAATGTATAATGTCGGTAAATATCATGAAATGAGATCAGCTATTCTTATACTCAATTTTCTTTGTCTGGGTGACGGTTTTCTTTATCGCTATCAGTTTCATTTTCTTCCTTAATTGTGGCCATTGGCTGTGGCATCGATGCGCTCAATCGTCGAATGTTCAACCGTTGAGTGTTCAGCACATCGTTGGCCTCAACCATCTGTACATTAGCTACTGCCCGTACTTCCATCGCTTCTGGTTCATCTGCATACAATGGGTCGTTTTCGTCGCTATCCATTGGAATTGGGTCATTCTCGTCAGTATCCATTGCTATCGGATAAACTGTTTCGACTGTTTCAACCTTATCAATTTCGATCATTTCGATCGTTTGGATTGTGTCGATCGTTTCGATTGTGTCCTCCGCTTCCGGTAGAATCTCTTGTTCGTTTTGAATGGGGTTGGCCAAACCTGTAGAAAAAAACGCAAGTTTGAATTATTTTACATGAAAATTCAATCTAGTGTTAAAACTAGACGCATATTTTTCAAAAGACATTTTGTGTGCAAATGTGCAGCAGTAAATAAACACGAAACTCCTTTTTGAAATTTTTACCTAAATTTTGTCGCATTTGGGCGAGCCTTTCCTCCATTTGTAAAACATCTTCAGATTGCAGATCGGGATTTGCTTCACAAACCTCAACTTTGCGATCTTGAACTGAGTGGAATGATGACCTGTATTGAACGACAGATCGTTCTTCATTTCAATTCCGATTACGGTCGGCTAGTTAAAAATGAAAAAGCAGATAATCGGAGATAAACCTATTGCATATTCAACAAATGTGCTGTTTCACGCCAAAATTCCGATGAAAAACTTTCATACAACCAAAAAAGCCTTACCTGATTCTTGCCAGAAGCGATTTATTTCATCGCGCAGAGTATTGGGTGCAATGTATTGTCGGGTGATATCCAAGCTTTTTGCTCGTCAATTTCGACGGCACGGAGCCGGTTGGGAGGTTGATGGTCCTGGATACTGTGAGGTTGATGGTTCTGGAGACTGATTGGGACTTGGATCAGGATTTTCATGTTGATTACGTGATCCTTGCACCGAGTGTCGTCGTCTGATGATTCTTGGTGGCATCTGACGAAACACTGCGGCTTCAACGGCTGCGTCGAATCTAATTTGGATCATTGAATTAAACATCCTTAGCGAAGCCGTCCGCTCAAGGTCAGCATTCAATTGCCTGATGATGTTGGCCATCCGTCTGGTGACTTAAATTGTAAAACAAATTGAATAAATGAATGAGGTTAATGGGTTTCACGGCTGCACGCTGGAAATTTCAATTTAAAAAAAAATCATGAAACACTATTTCTCCGAAGAATGGTTGAATTAGGTAGAATTATTTTGAAATTAATCATAATTTATTAATTCCACCATTCTGCGAAAAAAATTTGTTTCATGATTTTTTTTAAATTGAAATTTCCAGCGTGCAGGCGAGAAACCACAAATGATCTTCTATGCTGAACGCATCATATTTAGCCGAATTGAGAAAATGATATGTAGCAAAAACAAATAAAATTTATTCAATCAGATATGATTGAACACTAAACTGTGTTCACAGAAATACGCAGAAAATTTATGTTTCAGTTGTTGCTTGTGATATTTCATTACGACAACTTGAAAACTATGAATACGAAAACCGTCGAGAACGAAACACTATATGCAATCAAATTATTTTCTGTTCGTTCTATTTACAGTGCCCATCTTTGAAAGCAAATCAGAAGAAGAAGAAAAGAGAAACCAAGTTTCATCCGAACTCATTGTTTACTAAACGATGTTTCGCCTTTTTGGAACTGCTTTAAACTGGTTTACATTTGTCCGCTGACAAGTAATACATTCTCGAGGTTGTCAGAGTCACTTCACTTTCACCATAAAGAGATATGAGCCATAAACAGGCCAATAGCCTAGTGATTAATCAAGTTGGTTCAAAATTAAAGGAAAAACTTCCAACTTTTGCTATTTGAAAACTTTTAGTGCAGTGATTAAGAATATTAGAGGAAAAAAATTATTGATCGGGTGGATATAAAAACAGCGATTTCGACGGCATGACCGCATGAGCCTTATATTTTGCGGTATTTTCAACTGTATTAAAAAATATTTCGGCTGAGTTTTGATCAATGGTGCCAAAAAATGGATGAGCACATTCGAAATTAAGCAGTTCAATTTACCAGCGACACGATGAAACATTGTGGTACACCGTATTGGGAACGATTCCGAACACATGAACACTCAACATTTAGTGAATTTGCAAAGAAATCAAATGGGGACGCTTTCAACAATCGATGGCACTCACATAGTTACAGAGATATTGTCGCATGGCCAGAGAGTCTGAGTAAATCGATATCATTCGCAAAACTTGAATTTGAGAACAGAAGATATTCTCTTTTGGTTTGGATCGAAAAGTGTTAACACACTGACTGAGCTATTCGTGTCCCATTTAAAGAGTCAAGTGTTTATTGCAAACAGAATTTCTACAATCCAGTTGATATGAATCTATTTGGTGATATCGGTACAAATCAAGACGCTTATGAAGTAACTTTAATCCCGGCGACAAAATAATTGCACGGAGAATTTATGTGGAGAACTTAGAAACGAGCCTAACTGTTAACACATTGATACTCTTGAATGTAATAGACTCCTTAGCGCGTCTTGGCGTGTGTTTTGCGAATACAAACTGTGCAAATAACTACCGATGATTCCGATTTTGGAAATGAAGAACTCAGGAAAATTTACAATCCGAATGAAATGAATGAGCCCGATTTGATCTAATCTGATGAATTTAATTCGTTACCGATTGCCATCCCAACACAGTTGACTGAACATGAGAAAAGATTCCTGTGTTTCAATAGCCAAATAAAAAGCTATCAAATAAAAAAATCAATATGAATCTCACATGGTGAATGAAGCAACAAACTTCAAAGTTTTTTTATTCACTAAATGGCTTGCTATGAACACAAGAATCTACTGACCACGATACACGAATCAGAACAACTATAATAATTTACGTTTCCACTTATGCATCTTTTTCAATACGAATTGTTTTTGAGCCGCTTAGTTCCGACGATGTCGAATTATTTTTTATTTTTTGTTCGTCATCCGTTCATTTTTTTGGATACACTCGCATACAACAATAAAACAGCCATCGCTGAACGTCTCCCAACATGCAAATGTATGAGTATAGTTCATTTTTTTCTTATATATTCTGGGTTCATTTGTGTTTGGATATGTGCGGATGTGTGTATTTAAAAGTGGGTGAATACGGGTGTATATAAAACGATGAATTCCAAAAAATTCAAATTGAAAGTCAATTGAAAGTCAATTCCAATCAACATCAGCAGTATAAGCGGCCCAGAGAAAATAATTCGCACATAAATTGTTGACAAAGTGTGCATGCGATGGTATCAACTAATACTGTACGTTTCAGTGTGTTGAATTCAGTCTAATTTATTGTGCAAAATGAAAATAAAAAACAATGCGATATTCGGTAAAGTCGTTGCAGACTGTTGCTCTGTGTATGGCTACAATGCGCACCAATGGCTATTTAATAATACGCAAAAAATGCTTCACTCGGCATCGCCGCTACACGGATTGATTTCACACGAGATTATGCATACGGAATTTTGCGCGCCAAAGACACACTCAGACACACTCAGACACATACTTTCCGATACTTTCTCTCTCTCATTCTCTCTCTCTATCTGTATATCCCATCCACTCTTACAACACTTTTTTTCCTTCTTCGTCTTCATTTAATTGAAATTTCACATTGTACAACAAAATGAACACAAACGACTAGAAAAATTATTTGGGCCCCGGCATGTTAGGTACCGTTGGAAAGGTCTTGGCCCAAATAGTCGGAAACACCATATCTCCCATGCCTAAAGTGTGGTCTAGCAAAAATAAAGCGGTTGGAAAATTTCCATAAATTTTAAAATCTATACCCATATCTTACAAAGGGGGTACCCAGGGGGTGGTCTGAGGTGTCCAAGAGAAGCTCCACCTCGCCACCTTTCCAATGCCGGTCGAAGCGCTCCGATTGGTCCAAAAACGAAAAAGTTATGGGCATTGGCAGTTTGACCATTGTTGTGTCGAAAGACACAATGGGAACGCACCTTTAACAGCAATCAATCAAAACATCAAAACGTCACATTGAAATGTCAACAGCGACCGATGGTCACCAGACGTGTGCAAGGGGGGGGTATTCCGGTTTTACCCCCCCTCTAGGATTCCAAAATGTGGACTCCCCCCAGCGATTTGGAAAATTTGACACTAGATATAATCGATTTTCAAAAGTGAAGACCTTTTTTTTTTAGGTCTTCACTTGTTTTTTGACACCCATTGGCAAAATTTTAGACCCCCATTGTGGAATTGTGACTGTTTTACACTAGATAGAATCGATTTTAAAAAAAGAGGACCTTTTTTTTTAGTCCTCACTTTTTTCGGATCGGAGACTGGTTTTACACTAGATAGAATCGATTTCCAGACCCCCCC